TTTTTTTTTTTTTTTAGAGCTGTTCGTAAAGCTTTGAATTGTCACTTTTAGGTAGATGATTTTGGCGAAAGTTTGTTGGGTTTTGTTAGTGATGCAGAAGTAGAAGGGGCTCGTGAAAGAGTCTCGGATGCGTTAGGAGATCTCAATTTGGCTTCAAAGTCCATAACATTAGAAGAGGATTCTCTCAACAAGGGTATTGATGGGAAGTCGGCTGATATTGATTTGGGAGAGAATCTTGCAATTCCTGATGCAGTCGATGATTTTGGGGATTTTGGAGCTGATAATATGCTTGATGGTTTGTCTTCACAAATGCGCTATTAATCTGTACAAAAGTTTCAAAATTTTCATATATGCTTTGGTGGCTCGTTGTCGTTGTTCTGGAATCTTCCAGTTTATTGAATTTCAGATGTCGTTTTCAATGAAAATGAGTTGACTAAAGGGTTAGACGCTATGGAGGCTCCCGGAGCAGAACACGACTTCCCAGTTGAAGCTGATGAAATTGGTGGTGGAGCAGTATCTGGGCTTCAAATAGCTCCATCAGCAAATGGTGATTTTATCTGCTCTATCTATTTCTGTTCATTCAGTCTTAGTTTTAAACAGATTAAGTGGGGAGGGCGCATCGTATGTGGTGAAATGAAAGAACGCGTTTTGAAGTGACTCATGGGTATCTGTGTTTATAGCGAACAGTGGTTGGGGCATTTTGTTTTGTTTTTTGAGTGTAACGTGTAAAAGAAATTTTTAGAGTTCTAAGAGGGAGTCGAGTTAGTGTAATGAAATTTTGACGTTTGTAGTTATACGTCAAAAATCGCAAAGGAATTTACATTTAAAGTTGTTCAAATTTCTGACGAGCATTCGACTTTATTACCCAAATGGAAGTACCGTAACGTATTCTTTCATATAAAAAAAGTTTGTTAGTTATTTTAGAATCATTGAACAGAAAACTTTCAGAAATGTCGAAAAATAGAAGAAATTTGGAAGATGTAGGAATTTTTTTGAAGTGTTTTTTCTTTTTTCTGGTTTTATCAGCAAATTTTTGTTTTTAAAGGTGTTGTAATGTCTGAAAGCTTTACTTTGGAACCATTGGATGCTGCTGCAATAGCAATGGCTGGCATGGAGAAGACAGTACGTCCTAAAAAGAAACGAAGGCTTATAGTCGATGAGCAAAAAAATATTTCTGGTGATGAGATGAAAGCAAATATGGCAGATTACAGGTAAAATACTTGTCGTTAAAGCTGTGGCTTTTGGAGTTGAAGGTTACAGTATGATTTTAGGGACACTTTGCAACCGCTGGATCTGGCCCCACCAACTCGAAGGCTTATGCGATTGCGTGAAATGTCATCTGCTGAGAAATTGTATAGCAATCCTGGCTGTTCAGCATTACGCTCTCCAGAAATATTGAAGGTTAAAAATTGCCTGGTGGAAATTTTGAGTTTTTGTTTTCATTGGCTGGAATTCTTATTTCACGTTTGTAGCTGTATCGCTCTCATCTGGTTCTGCGAGCGCGTACTGCTTCAGCGGTCCTGAATGATGACATACGTCGAGATCTTGAAATGATAGACCATGTAGATGTAAATATTGAACCTGAGGGCAGTATCGCTTCTGGTTGTATGGTATGGCCGTGAAATCTTATTCAAATTATGTTAACCTCATAGATCTTTCACTTTATCGCAGAAGTAGCTTTTTTATTTCACCATTTCTTATAGGAAGATCGTGGAGAGGATTTTGATGATATAGGTGGTGGCTTATCGCCTGTGGCTTCTCCTGTACCAATGGAACCAATTGCAGAGGAAGAAGCTGGTTCTGCAATGGCAGATGATTTGTTAAACAGTACAGCAAAAGACCCCTTTTCTGGTCCAGAAAGAAAACGTGAACGAAGAAGCCGTGTCGATGTACTCATTCAGTTTCTTAATTTTATTTTCAAATGCTGTTACTGTTGCATTGTTTTCAAAAAACTTTTTTTGTTTTGTCGAACTCGTAGCTATTTTTTTGTTTTATTCTGCTCTTGGAACTCTTGTGGTTATGGTTTAGAGGACAACCGATGATGATGAAACAACTGCTGAAGGGGAAGATGACCACAAGTGGAGCAAAAGGACTCAAAACGTTTTAAATTCTATCTGTTCCAAGATTAAGGCCTCACCGGACGCAGAGGTCTGCATTGGAAATTAAAATTAGTTTATTTTTTGCTGCAAGTAGTTTTTTTATCTGGTGTCGCTGTGGAACTTTTATTACTAGTGCCTCACTGCGTTATTAGAACGATATGTATGTTCTTTTCAGATTGTCATGTCCGATCTGTTAACTAAGAATTCAACTCGCAAGACTGCTGCGCAAAAATTCTACACCTTATTAGTTTTAAAGAAATGGCAGGCTATTGAAGTCCATCAGCAGGAACCATTTGGCGATATTAGCATAACTGCTGGCCCGAACACTGCCGGCACAGTGGCCTCCTGATTTCTGTGCTAGTATTTCATGTTCCAGTATGCTGTTTATAGTTTTTTTGCTATACTTTACTTCGTATATTCATTAACTGCCTTATTTTCCTGTATAATTTTTGGTTAAAATGTTTTGTTGCAATTTTCGATTTGTTTTTCCTCTAATTAACAACAGATTTGTAACTAAAAGATGTGTGTTTTTGGTTTCTCATGTTTTAGTGATGAATGCCTTTTAAAATTTTGTAGCTGTCTTCGCTTCTTCTTGTTTATTCTTTTTTCCTTCGTGATCTCGGGGGACTGACGAAGGCTGGTCCCGATTGTTTGTAATTCCCAACGCCTTTGGTTCGTTGTTATATCTTTGACGCAAAGTTTTATACCTATAAATAAATTTTGCTTTTCTTTATGGTACATTATTAAGTGGCATTTTTTAGGATGCGGTATGGAACTTTTTGTAAATGTTTCGTTTAGTAATTTTTGATTCTCTGTAACAATGGCATCCTTTCATGATATTTTTAATTCGTATTTTTCATATGATTTGTCACAATGAAGTTTGAAGTTTCCAGCTTGGATTTGCTTTTATTAAGTTTAAGAGAAATTGTACATTTTAATAATACCCAAATTTGCTGCTTTCGTTGTAGGACTTGACGGGAATGGGATTTGCATCAGATTTTAAAGTCCTTTTTCGAATAAATTTTTGAACATAATTGCGCAAGCCAGTGGATGCTGTATGCCATGACAGTATGATTTTTAAGGGGGCAGAGTTGTTGGAACTTCTTGGGCAGTGGTGGCGGGCCGGAACAGTGTAGAAAAGTGGAGGGGAAGGAGGTTTTCAAAAAGCGTGATATTTAGGCAGTTTGGGAAGCTGGATTTTGGTAGGATAATGTTTGGCGCCCCAGGGTTAGGCTTCCAGCAGTTGATTACGATGTGATCATTAATGTTTTCATTCTGCTTTGTGATAGAGTGTTTGGCGTGGTACAAGATGTATACGGAACGGGTGTGGGGACAGTACTGAATGGGCTGTCATCGGTAATATGGATTTTTTTTTTCGCAATGTGCTTATAAACCTGGTCACATATGTTTAGTGGATGGTCTCAGTGTTGCGCAGTTTATAAAAAATGGTAGGAACTGAATGAACAGTAAATAGTGGATTGATGGAAGTGACTTTGTTTATTTTGATTCGGCAAATCCGTTTTGTGGTTTGAATGTGTTAATATCTGCAGTATTCAAAGTTCTTACTTCCCGCCAACTGTTTATGAACTGTTTGAGAAGTTGGAGTTGCCGAAGCTTTTGTTCGGCGTTTGAAGGCCTACGAAAAGCGATTTTGTAGGGCCTGAGAAGTTCTAGGCTTTCTGATCTTACGGCTAGGTCAGAAAGTTAGTCATCAAGATGTGGAATACAGAGACCAAACTGCTTATGAATCATGGTGATTTCAATAATTCTTTTTTCACAATTTGACGTAAAGTACAAAGTTTCTAAATATATACGGAAATTATTTATTACTGAGTGCCAGAGTAAGCAGGGGTTCATCAAGCAGCATTATTTGGGTTGTCATTTAACCAGTTAGAAGTTTATTTCTTAACGGCGCTTTTAAGAGTTTATACTTTGCTCATTATTAGTCTGGATACTACTTATGACATAGGTATGATTATCACTAACTGGCTAAATACAACCTAGGCTTACCAACACTTATGGAGAGGAAATTAAGCTTGCCGAAAAGAAAGAAGACGTAGATCACTTCAGACTTTGTATTAAGTCTTCAAGCATTTAGATTTCTGGCGATTGAATATTATAGTTTTAGCTAATTTTTGTTAGTGGCCAGTTTTTGATTCATCTTTTTATAAGGAAGTTAGAATCAGTTCAATTTGCAGGCGACATATAATAAGGAAAAGGAATATTTGGTTAAAAATTTATTTTCATTTCAGACTAGTTGTGTTTCGATGTTTTTTCAAGCCTCTCTGGGCATATCATCGACAATTACTGCAATAAAAGTAATCGCAAACAGTAACAGTAATGAAAATAATAGTAGACGCGGGGAATTAAGTTAGCGGGTGTTGTACGGAAATGAATTTTGGCTATAATTCTTTCCAAGTATGCAGTTACATGTTGAAAGTAGGTACAGATTTCTTTTCTTGTATAGAAAACTATTCTACTTTTTTTGTTTTCTGATGTTTTATTTTACCGCTGTAAAATAAAAAGTTCAGTGTTCATTGTAATGTCTTATGTCCATCAAAATTTCCTATTCAATTGTTATTTTTATACTAAATTTGTGATAATGCAAAAGACCAAAATTGTTTATTAACTGTACCTCTTTATAAATCCGAACAAATTGTCAAAATGATTTTTGGATTGTTTAATTTAGGAATGTGAGAAGCGTTTAGCACAGTAATAATTTTGAATTACTTTCAAAAAAATTAATCTGCCGAGTGCAAAGTGCGTATCAAAAAATTTTTTGATAACGTTTACAGATATTTTGTTATCATTTATTTTGTCTTGCTTGATCAGAGCCCAAAAGTTCAATGATTACTCTAAAAAATATGGAAGCAGCAGTGGCAAAAATTGAGGAAATTGAATGATTTAATTTAAGTAACCACTGTCAAAATTTATTTGTTTTTGTTGCATTCCGTAAACACCAATGCAGATATAGAATCCTCATAATTTTTCACAACCTTTGTACTTTCCGCTAATAATAGTGTACCTTATTGAGGTTATTGCTCTGCGATCAAGCAGAATGGTTTACAACTTTGTGGAAGATTTTAGATTTTTTGTTGCCATTTGAAAAATAATGAAGTTTTGCTAAAGATTTTATGAAAAATGCAAAGAAGAATCTGCACTGTGAAGTTGTCAGAGATTAAGAGGTAATGTTTTTGCAGATCAGTTTCATACTAAAGTCAAATTGTCATATTCTGCGCTTCCTGACCGTAAGTTTTATTTTTAGGCAGGAATCAGGAGTAGAATGTCCCTGGATGAAACGGTTTTAAATTACCCACATTTTTTCTTGCTATATTCTGTTTTTTGTTGTATATGTCGGCCTTGGCTTTTGTTCATGAATTATTATTATTTTTTTTTTATTTCTGTAGTTCAGTAATATCAGTGTTTCATTTTTGTACGACTGTGTTTGATTGGCTGCATAATTCTTCTGCAGACCAGAAACCGTGACGTATTTTCTGAATTAGACAATGATCTTTAACATTTCATGGTGCACCCCGGACCGTCCGTTGTGCGCGTTTCAGATAGTTGTAAACCACTGTCACTGTGCAAGATCCACTCTTTCTGTTCAAATTTATTTCTTCAAATTTTGGACCTTTTTAGTTCTGTTGTGCCCTAAATCACTAAGTTTTTATACCTGTCTTTTGTTCTTCGTAACCGCCGTCGCTATCAAATGACTACAGAAGCGTCATGTTAAAATATTTTACCTAAACTTCTCTAAAACTAAGTTTGAACTATTTTTGATGTCGTACCCCAACAAATTTTTTTAAAGGGTTTGTTAGAGAGGTATTTGAGAACTGGTTATGTGAATTAAAAAGATTTCTTTATCACATACTACATTAAGATTTCGCTTTTCTGCCTCCAAACTGATCCCTTGTATAAACCTATTATCAAGTTCAAGCGATTTCAAAATCTCCCCCTATCACGATCTGATTTTTCCCTTCTTTTTTGAGTATGAATTCCGCTGAGGAGTAAAATTTACACTGTTGGATACGAAGTGCTGTTTGAATAATGTAATTAATAAAAATTTTTTGAAAGTTGTAAGAAGTCTTTTTTGTCTGATTTAACAAATAAAAATTTTGCAAAATTTATTTATTTATTTATTTTTTTTGAATCGCTCATCAGTATTGTTAGCAGTGATGAAATTTTCATCACTTCATTTTGAACACTCATAAAAGCACTTTTGTAGTTATCGGTTGCACTTCGCTTTCTTTAACCAACAAACTGCGCTACTCAAAACATCAAATTCGTAAACGTATACTTCATCATCTCAAAAATTAAGACAAAGATTCTTTGAAATGGAACGAAAAAGTTCAGTGAAGAAGCATTTCATCTTTTTTGAGTTTCCAGATAAATTTTTACTTCTAAATCTAAAATTATTTTGCTTTAAGTGGACGCCTGCTTGGGCTTACATCCCTGCTAACTGCAAGAGTTCCATCATATTTCTGACACAAATGGAACTAAAAAGTTTTTATGCCAGATTGAGGTTCTGTTCACTTTTCCATTTCAATACAACTTTTGAACTGAATGTTTATGCCCTCTTTCAAAACTAAAGCTTTTGTAATCTTTTAAGGGTTCTAAATCTAGTTTAAGGTTTCAATACGATAACCACTGGCAATCACTATGGAGGTTTCTGCTAATGCGCTTTGCAGTACAAATTTTACTGATTGTTGTGTTGTCTGCGGAGATAAAGCAGTTGGGAAACACTATGGGGCTGTCGCTTGTAACGGCTGTAAAGGATTTTTTCGTCGAAGGTATCACTAATAGTTAATTATCAGTAAAGTACCATGCAGAAAGTTCAGTTACAAAGTAATGCTAGGCAAGTGATTGGTGGCTATCAGCAACAACACCGTATTAAAAATGCAGGTTAAGGAATAAAGGAAAATAATAGAAGCTGGACCGAAAAGGTATACAATATTAATCATAGTTGCTTGTTACAATAACTTATGCAACGTTTAGAGCACGTTAGACTTTTAGCCTTGTTGTCAAAATGAATGTCTGTACAGACTGAGGAATAAGAAAATAAGAAAAAAAAAGACATTTTGACCGGAAAAAAGCATTATAAGGAGCAGAGGACCCACTTCCACAGTTTTGATACTCAAAACGAAAATTTTAGGTCAAGCATTCACCGGAGGTCAAAACAGGTTTCGACTTCTTGACTTACCGGTCTAATGGACTAATCTTTTTAATTAACGAATCTGTAAATTTGATAGAAGATTGTGCTGCTTACAGCAACTTTCCATTTGTGCAGATAAAGCACTCTGTATGTTAGTCTGTTAAATAATAAAGCTGGTTGTGCAGGCAGCGTCTAAGTAAACG